GAAAATGTTTGAAAGAATCTTTTAGAGATTGATTCATTTGTCGTGTGATGATAGTTGATGTGATCAGCTCAGAATCGTGGCTTCGAATTGAGGAGAATATGTGGAAGAGTCTTTTAGAGAGGTATTCTTTTGTCGCATGATGATAGTTGATATAATCAACTCGAAATCTTTAGTTTGAATTGAGCAAAATATTTGAAAGAATGATGGTTGGAATTTTTCATTTGTTGTGTATTCATAATTGATGCAATAAACGCCCAACTGTTGGTTAGAATTGAGTAAAATATTTGGAAGGATCTTTCGAAGAACTATTGATTTGTCTTATGTTGATAGTTGATGTTATCAAGTTCAAGTGTTTGTCTGGAATTGAGCAATATATTTGAGAGGATCGTTTTAAGAACTATTGATTGAGGTTGTGATCTCTGTTCATGGCCGCAAGTTGGTTGGTAATTGTTCATGTAGGATATCTGGATTGGGAGAAGGATTTAAGTGGATGTGATTGAGGGTGAAGAGGATGGTTTTGGAAGAAAATAATATGTCGCATGAAATCATGAGTTCCAACAGCGTTTGTAACCAAATAGGGTGGGATGACTTCATGAAATAGGTAGCAGTGTTTTGTTTCTTGGGGTGATCACAGTGATTTTGAAGGAGAGATGTGGCAAGTATAACTGTCTAAAACCAAAAGGTGTGATAATGAACCAGTTATGATTTTGGAGAAGATGCCGACGCTTTTAATGTTTTGTTCGTCTCTTACTGAACCGTCAAAGGTTCTAGATAATTGGAAGAACCATGTCGAATAAAAAATGGTTTGATGTGTTCGTAAGAGTTCTGTCTCGAGCCAGTTTTTTCTATACTGAACTTCTTTTAGAAAGGTGGGGAAAGTGACTTTTCGTCTCAGTTTTCCATTACAAACTCCGGTTGAAGTAGTCCGTTTCGATCTCCGGACATAAGACAAAAGACAGAGGTTCGGAATGGAGTGCTCAATAGCGAGTGTCAATGAAATGTAACAAAAAACAGAATGTTCGAAGTGAAATTTGTCCAAGAGTTCGTGAGGAACTGTGATAACCCTTTGTTAGTAGTTGAAGAGTGAAATTTTGACTGGAGATCGGAATGAGAAAGTCCGGAAGTTCGTTATGACAAAGACAGTGTTGTCGTAGTGAAAACTACCAAACACGCTGTCATACCATTCTGATTTCCGTGCCTTTCTGTTACGATCTTCCGTACAAAAATGTTTACGAACTTCAGTCATAAATCTTTATGGACAAAAATTCATTTTTGATCACCCGGACACATGTCCGGAGTTCTAAATGGGTTGAGACGAAAAGTACGTTACCCGAAAGATGGTTGTATCGTAAATCACTTGAAATAAAATGGTTCATAGTTTGAACGGGAGTTAATTAACGTAAGTGTCGAATAATTTTACTAATCGAATGATAATAATAAAACACTGGTGTCAGGTACATTTAATTCGGTAATAACAACAGTTAACAGTTACTTAGACGCTTAAATAGGTATTAGATTTTTTCTGTTCCTGATTCTATTACAAATCTTTTAATAAAGAAAAAGTTATTTTGTGAAAATAACGGCTTTTCATAAACCTTGACTGACACACTTATTGATTCTTCTCATACTGGAAATACAGTATTGACAAAAACAATCAATAGTGCACCACCAACAACATTAACTGAAGCTGAATTAATTAGACTTCTAATATAACCAAAATAGAGAGAACTGTCATCGCGTTCAACGAGTAAATGAAGTCAATGGAATGCTTTTTTCTAGTTGGAATAGGAGTATTTTCTTATCGACAAGTTGTGTTTGTTTATCCTTTTTGCTATTCTTATCGAGTTTTACTATTTATGGGAAGCTTGAATTCAGTGAATTTTTTCTTCAAATTTGGTCTATGTTCAGTACTTTCACACGAGAGTGTTATTCGTATTGTGATAGACTTATGTGTTGGTCATCGTGATGCGAGTGTCTAGTTCCAAACTTTTTAATTATCTTATGTTTCCGACAAAAACAAAGAATGGAAAACAATATACGACAAGTTCCATTTGTTCATTCAACGTGAAGCACTGAGAGATGAATGTATTTATAATGTTAACTAATAATGTGAATCAATCTGCGAATACAGTTTCAAAGAAAAAGTATCTGAGTCTGGATCGATTCTACACTAAGTTTTATCTTTTTAAATGAATGAACTTTTGTTCATTTAGGTGTATCTGAATCATGAATTAAAATGTAATTTTGATCTAATAAATTAAATCAATATTTTTGTGTTTAGGTATGTCTCAATAGCCAATCCAATAATCAATTGTGACTTATAAAATAAATTATTTTTCTTCATGTAAATGCATACCAATAACTAATATCGTCGACAGAAGTCAGTTCACTCGGATGTTTTTTGAATAACTTTCGATAGGGACAAGTTAGAGACCTGCAGTTTTCTGCATTTGATAGCCAAGACCCAGGCGCATATTTCCATTAGCAAACTCTTTTCTGAAAAGAAATCTTCAAACCGATTTTCCAGAAGATCTCTGGAAAACCACGATAGATTTATGAAAACTGCCATAGGAGTCTGTTGATTTTATTACATGAGAAGATAGCTCAGAGTATTTCCTGAAAAACTAGATCTAAACAAAAGTTCTATTTTGTAAGGTTTACACAAACCAGGCAGTTTTCCCGAAGTCCTAGGACTCGCTTTTCTTTAGGTGTGGCACTGTTGTAAACACCTGAAAACCTAGGTTATCGGCTATGCTGAACATCATGGCAATGTTTTTTTCCGTGTTTAGAATAACATTTTTTTATTAATCGTATATGTTCATTATCAATAGATAGTATTGGGTGTGGATGTGGTTGTCACTATTTGTTTTTTCTTTACCCACAACAACACCTACACACCCACACCCATGCCCACCCTAAATGATGATGAAAAACTTAGAAAATTTTATCATCCAATTATAAATGATTTGAATGATTTGCAAGCTACTGGTTTAATATTTAATACATTCAACAGTGACTTACACTTTATATTTACGACAATTGCTGCTGATAATTTAGCTGCGCATGGAATCGTTGGTATGCAGCAAACATTCAGTTCTAGATATTTTTGTAGGAGATGTTTAATAACCTATCAAAATCGACTTATATCATTCACCGATGTTCACTTCATTCAACGAACACATCTTTAACATACAAAATGTTTACAATTAATTGAAAACAATCCGCACATAAAATCCATGTTTGGTGTTATTGGTCCAAGTCCACTTGATGACTTAATAAATTTTGACACTACTGCTTCTTTGCCAGAAGATGTAATGCAGGATTATTTTGAAGGTAACTATTCAAAAGATAAAATTTTGCTTGTAGATTAATTTTTTCTTTTTTTTAGGTGTATGCCCGGTCATTATCATGGAGGTGTTAAAGGAAGCATCATATTTAAAGCTGATTACTTTTGCTGCTATTCAAGAGAGAACAGAAAATTTTTCTTATGGTGAATTAGATGCATCAAATAAATCTCCTCCTATACAAGTTAAACATTTAAACAATGATCGTATTAATAGAAGTGTAGCTCAAAAATTCTGTCTGTTTCGCTTGTTCCCAGTCATCTTTTCTGATAGTGTCGAGCACTTAAAATCATTTAAAAGTTACCTCGTTTTGCGTGAAATGTTGGATGTAATATTAGCTTTGCCTCAACGAAAAATTTGGCAGCCTTATCTTGAAACATTATCAATAAATTTTCAGTGTATGATGTTAGAGCTTTTGCCACACAAAGCAACACCGAATGTACATTATGCCATTGAGTATACAAAAATAACTGAGGAAAATGGTTCACCATTAAGGTATTGGTGTATGAGATATGAGGGTACTCACTTGTATTTCAAAAAAATTGTTACGCAATCTCATAATTTCAAGAATATCCCGAAAACATTGGCTTAACGACAACAACTTCGACAATGCTTTTTATTGTCCAAGTGTCAACTCTTGAAAGCATTTGAAGAAGCTAGTGATACTAAAATAATTTATATGTATGAAATAGATTCAAAAATCAAGGTTCTTCTCAATCATGAATATGGACAACAATTTGTTCAAACACAAACATTGTTTCAATGTTCACAACTGATTCAGAATCATATTATTTATAAACAACATGCCGTTTATGTTTATGATTTAGAACATGTAGAGGAAATTCCATTATTTTTTCAAATAGTTTATATATTGAAGTTAAATCAACAATGGATATTCGTTGTGGATCTTCTGAATACTGATGGATTTAGCATCAAACTATGGAGTTACAGAGTTAGCTCATATGATCATCTTGAAATAGTTTCACCAAATGATTTAAAGTATTACCACAAAGGACTTGATTTATATAAAGTTGATCATCTTCATGTTGTTAATCTAGCGTCAAGACTAACAAAGACAATTTGACGTTTCGAGGATATTAAACATGCCGATATTTATTCTTTTCTTTTCATGTGATTCTGTAGTTCAAGACATAAAATTTCACAATCTGAGACTTGTGAAATAAGGAACTTCGTTTAACGTTTGTCTTATTTTGTTTTAGAAGAAGAAGTTGATGGTGAAACATTATTTTACATGAACGACTTGAATCTAGTGAAATCATTCAAATTGTCATACAAAAATCAAGTTATATTTTTGAAAGAGAGAGAAAAATTATTTTCGTCGAAAACAAATTAAGAAAAACCAATATCATCATCAACATCAAATGATACAACATTGTTAATTGTCGATCAAAATGAACAAGAGGTTTATGAAGATGAAGATGAATTAGCACAACCAACAATAGATTCATCATATGCCATAACTACTATTACATTAAAAAATTTAACAGATAAAACTCTTCCGGATCCATATTTCCTGCCAACTTTGCCGAGCCAAGTAAATGATGCAATTACTCTTAAACAAATGAAAAAGTTCGAAAAACTTTACAATTATCGGTCAATAATTATAGATACTGTTTTTCATGGTTTGAAAACAAACTATGATCTGCTGTAAATATAATGTTTCAATAATTTATTCAAGTTCTTTCTTTTATATATCCGGAAACTTTGTGTTGATGTACAAATAAACTAGCTATATGAAAATAAGAAAAATCAATCGACTATGAGTACATGTACACAAGATATAACATGTGATAAATATGTGTTCATAATGGAACTCTAAACTTTTATAAAGAATATTCTCATAAATAAATTCTTCTACATATATTTTTTCTACATAGATATCCAACAAGGGAACAATATACAGTTATTGTCAATGGTATATTGAATCATTTGAAAATTGAACGAGATACAAAAACAGTTGTAAGCAAATCTAAAAAATAATCATGTCAAGAGTATAATAATTTATGTTACAGAATTTGTGGCGAGAGTCTCTTATTTCCAAATATAAGAGAGAACGACAACATTTCGATGAAGATAGAGTAACTGAAACGAAGCTAAGATACTCAATAGGAAGATATGGAAGAAAAATAAAAAAAACATCCAACAACACAATTATCAGAAAGAAACACATCAAAAACAGTAAGTTACACGAGAAACAGCCAAAAAGTTATGTATGTTTTTATTTTCGTAGACATCAATCATACAAGATGCACCAAATGAAATACAACAAATGAAAGAAAAAGCTGAAACACTTAAAACAAGTTTTCAAAACAAAACAATTGATGATCAACATTATCAACAGTTATGACTCGAAATTTTTGATTATCAACAAAATTTTATTAAGCAAAACACAACTGCAAATATTATGGAACGATTTTCTGTTTATTCAAATCCATCTATGGTGAAAAAAATTGCAACACTTTCAGTATCACATTCTCATTTCAGATATTGACAAATGTTAAACTATTAACAGATGCAGATTTGGATCCTTCTGTTCAAGAAAAAATGAATTTGCTTTCTAACAAAATTTGTTCTGATAATAAATTTTTAACAGGTATGGAAAAAAGTTTATAGTATACCAAACAGTCATTTTGTTTATTAGATAATCCAATTACTCGTCGTTTTAAAGTATTATGTAATATACTAAACGACTCATGGAAACATTATATTGGCTTGTACCCTAATGTAAGTTATGTGTATATTTTTTAAAATTTTTTAAAATATCGCGAACATGAAAAGAGTAGAAGAAGTTAGTGATATTTGGTCTTGTATTCTCGTCAGCTAGGTAGTCTTCTTGGCTTGATTGAGACACATCGCCTATGACTTTAGTTTTTCCTTATTTCTGACTATTACAGACTTTCTATCAATGCTATGGTTCATTACTTTAAACTTTCTTATACGTTGGAATATTAGCGGACTATTAATCTTATTCGATTAATCAGATATTATAAAGTATCATGAACAATATAGATGCTTTTATAAAATTGGTTTTTCATCAGAAATTTCGACACCTGAAAAATTCCTTCTGTTGGACTTCGAGTTAATCTCTTATTATACAATAAAGAGAAGTTCTTATTACATTCCTTTTCTCTTAAGCTTATGCTTTTTAATTTATCTCGATTGGTCTTCTGATTCTTTTTAGAAACCAGTTACTCCTCAACCAACTATGGTAATTGAAGACAATGATATAAAAATTTACCTTGACCGGACATTCATTTGTTCATCAAATTCTATTAAACAGTCTGTTGCATTAATCGTCGGTTTTTATTGTTTGATGAATCTCACATGTCAAACATATGGTACTGCAATAAGATTTTTATATGTCTATTTCATGAATGATAAGCAACAACAGTCATATATCATTCGCAAGTTTTGTAAAGTATATAACATTCAACTCCATGATAATCCTTCTTCAGTATATATTGTATCGTTGGAAAAAACAGAAATTAATGATGTTTATTCAACTAATAGACATGAAAATGAGAAAGAACAAAACATGTCTAATGAAGTTCAAATGAGAACATCAATTGAACAAACACAGTTTGAACTAATACCATTTGAACAACAACCAACTCGCAAAAGTAAATCAGATGAAAAACTTGATTCTGAGCTTTTATCTCAGGAGATTAATTTATCAAAACAAAAAACAACCCGAAATCTTCGTCCAAAACGACGTCGACAATAAAGATATATTCACAACGACAACAAAAATATTTTATCAGCTCCCTCGTTCTCTTCTTTTATCAGGAAGGGTTCGCCGTTTTCATTATTTTTCTTGTAAAAAAAAGACACTCATTCGTTTCTCCTTCTACGTCTTTTTAAACTATTCATTTACTGAGAGAGTTTCTTTCATCAACATATGGGAGATATTCATTCATGGAATTCCATTCGTTTCTTATTCCTCCACAATTTTTTATAGCTTTCGATTCTTCTAATAAACCATACTGCGCCATCATCAACATTTCAAAATTCTGATTGCAAGTACACCCGAGATTCCTACCGATAATACAGCTAGTCTCAAACATTTTCTTCATAATCAAACAGCAACGCATACCCTGAGAAAAAGGTCAATAAAGTACTTCGCTTCATAAATACAAGCTCAAAAAAGCGCAATCTCAGAAAACATGCATAACACCAAGTATGTCTTCAGTTCTTATTAAAACGCTAACTAACAATAACTGATATTGACCATAATACTTATGTTTTCTTTACTATTTACAATCAACCCGATGGAAATCACTTACAAGTTATATTCAAACTATTATAGAATTCTATTTTTTTTATTTTCCATACATCAAATCAGAATCCATCCGCACATTCTATTCATACTATCACATATTATTATTTTTTTCTTTATGATCCATTGAATAAAAATCATTTATGCGTGCGATTCGTATTACAACACATTTGTTCTTTTATTTGAAATCCATCGCATGCAAATTCATTGTAAATTCTTCTCAGACTATTGTATATTTACATTTCTTTTTCTATTTACAATCAACGAAATGCCAATGCATCTATGAGTTCGCTTCAAATAATTCTATATTTTATTTCTTCTTTTTTCAGTTTGGATGAACCAAGTGAGAGTCCATCAGTGAGTTTGTTTCAAATTCTTGTATATTCTGTTTCTCATTTTTTTTTAGTTTGGATGAACAAAATAACAATCGATCGGTGAGTTTGTTTGAAATTATTGTATGTTCTATTTCTCATTTCTTTTAGTTTAGATGAACAAAACGATAATCCATCGACAAGTGTATTTCAAATTATTCTATATTCTATTTCTTTTGCTTTTTGGGGACCACTGTATTCAGAGTCCATCGGTGAGTCTTTTTTTATGATTGTATAGTATTCGTTTTTATTTAAGTTGAGCGAAATGACAATCAATCCGTGAGTTCTATGGAAAGTACGTCTTACTGTTATATGTGCATTTATGGTGAGTGAGAGGAAAGTTTTTATCTGAGTGCTGCTGAAGTTATTCTCGAATTTATTTTTTACATTTAGTTTTAACTTAAGGTGAAATTTGTTTTAAGCAGTGTGAGTTTTAGTCGTATATTTAATTTTTTTCTTTAGGGTGTGATTGAAAAATGTTGGAATAGAAAACGATATTAGGCGTAGTGGGCGAAAATGATGGATTGGTGAATGTCTGGTCGTATGAGGTTCCAGTGTAGTGTTTTTTAAGTCGTTTTGTCAACTGGGAATGCTTTTGTTGATCGGAATATTTTTTTTGTTCGCGTGCCTTTCGGCATAGACAGCTGTGGGCGCAGTGTATGAACCTTGGAAATCCACTGTGGGTTTCCGTTCTCTAGTTTTATGAACCTCGGAAACCTTTAATGAGTTTCCAGGAGTAGTATATAATATTCCGATAGTAACAAGATCGGAAACCCTTTAAGGATTTTCCCGAATACCTTTTTTTTTAGATTGTACAGACACGGAAATGTCTCCAAAATATTATGGTTTGCTTAGGAATGGGTTTCAAGGAAGTCTCATCATTAATTATCTTTAAAGACGGTTCAATAAACTATGTTCGATATATAGAGGAGGGGCTTCCTGTGCCACTGAAATATGGCAACAAGGCGTGCAGAAACTATTGGATCTCTCAAGAAAATGTTGCAAAACCATATATTCATCATTTCACGCACTAATGGTGTCAGGACAATTTTGCATCATTCATTGATAAAGATCATAGGCCACCAAATAGTCCCGATCTAAACCCTTTGAATTATCTGATATAGGATGACAACGGAAATTGAAAGAGATATTCCCAAAATATTGAGGTGTCATTTATTCTGCTCCACTCGATACTAATCACATCAGACCATCGATTGCACATATAGAATAACATCGTCAGCAGAATAAATAGCCAAAACAAACTAATATCTATTTCAGAGTTAAATGAACGTGAGCATTTTTCGGATAACTTTAAACCAAAAAAGAGAAATTACTTGGGTTTACAACACTATCTAGAGTCGACATTCTTGCATCTCTTTATAGAATTCACGAAAAAATCCAGTTGCTTTTCTTCTGAGATATGACATCAATTTTCAAGATGATCTTAATCCGCTTTGAAAACAACTGTTTCCTTTCAAAAGATATAAAGAATTTATTGAATGCTACTCATTAAAATTTTTCAAAATTTAAGCAGTTAACAAACAAATATAATCTATCTCTTAGGGCAAATTTTTAGCCATCTTCTACTTCATGACATGATTCAATAATCTTTTGAGTTTATTTTCCTATTGAGAACTTCGTCAAAAGCTATGTATTCATTTTATTTTATGACACGGAATTGATATATTAGAAAACTCTTTTCGACCTCTATTTTATTGATGCTTTTATTCCAAAAGTGTTGTGAATTCAAATCAGTGGATCAAAAGGATATTCAAAGATTTTAACGTAAATTGATGATAAAAAGTCATCCATCATCAGCATCATTTGTACTATAAGTACTATAATCATGATCACTGTAACTATGTAGTTTTTGCTGCAACCTTTTCGATACAAATGTTTCTTCTTTTAAATTTTATCTCATATTATTTAATATGATTAATGTAGCTGCTTGTTTCCCTGACATACAAGCCATACATTCATTCTTGGGCTACTTTGCTCACTTCAGCCAAAGTACAATCCATGTTTCTATCACGAACACAGATTTTCATTTTAGCTCAGGCTAATTCAATACGATTCAGTATGCAATGTCTCATTCGTGAACATTAACCATCCGTAGACGCTGTCATTTTGGAACTTCATGGATGTTGTGGGGTCCAGATGGATCCACCCATAAAAAACTGTAACAAATCGATATTTTTGTTTTACTTTAGCTAGTCATTTATGTACTCTAAACCTCTAAATACTCTGTTCATAAATATATGTGTGTCACATTTCATAAAGACAAAACAAAGGAAAACAATATCGAAAAAAGTTGTCTGACATTGATTTCATTACACATGCAGAAATATAGCTGAAAAAAGTGCTCGATCCAATGCACTCAGTCTATAGAACAGTAGAAATATGCTCGTATATCCACATACATAATTGGTATTAGGTATGAAGAGAAGAAGTTTGTCTTTTTTTCAACAGCTTCATTTTTATCTTTTGCTTTTTTCCATGATTAAAACAATCTAAAACAGTACTTTTCCTGGCACAATGAAGTTGTTGTTGTTTGATTTTCCTGATAGAATATAGAATTTTTTAAAATTCTTCTATTGACATGTCTCACAAGTGATCATTGTAATGCTTTTAGAATGAGAAAGACAAACGTTCTGTCCACAATTGTGACAGGTTTGCCGAACTTTTCTTCCGGATTTCGATGGACACAAATAACGTCTTCTTTTTGGTGGATTCAAATGGACGTTCACTTTAAGATCTTCAACACTTTCTGATCGAAGATGATAGCCACGAGACAACAAAGTAAGTTTTACTTTTGGCTTGAGACGGGATTGCTGACTATGTCGTTGATTTTGTGAATCAGTTAAAGCCATACTTTATTGTGATAAAAACATATGACGAGTATTCGTTCTTTCTTTATTCCATTCAGAATTTTGACATAACTAGCTTGTCATTCTATTGATTGCGGCAATATCTATCATATTGTAAAAGACATTCATTGGTCATCGCCTATTTATTCGTCTGACTGTGTAATTCTCAATGCATTGATTAACAGCATCAACGCCACATTTTGTCTGATTGTGGTCACGAACTGCACACGGTAATTTGTTCTCGTCATCAAAAACTTCAGGATATTTATGCAACGAAGATAAAACGATGATCGGCTTTTTTTCTCTTTCGCTTGGTAGGACAAAAGCATATGTGGTCCTGAAAAATAAAACCACGATGAAAATAAATTTTGACGACATACTTTTAATTCATCAGGTAAAAACGAGCGTCTCTGTTCGACAACTTCAATAGACGTCATTTTTCGATCTAACAAAGCTTCAGATAATTTGATATCTGTAAAATAACGATCAAATATAATGCATCGACCTTGTTTGACGTTGTTCGGCAAATGATCAACTAAGTTAAGAACAACATTAGTTGCAACATTCTTCTGAATTTGGTTGCCCTTTTTTCCGGTATATAGATCAATCGATAATACATATCGATTATCTACGTCAGACAAAACCCAAAATTTTAGTCCGTATTTAGCCGGCTTATTTGGCATATATTGTACAAGACAACAACGACCTCGAAAAGGCACTAATTGCTCATCAACAGTTAAATTTTCACCGGGTACAAAATTTTTAGGAAGTTGTTTGACAAAAAGCTCAAATATATATCTAATGGGACCAAGACGATCAGATTTATCACGAGTTTCTCGATCATCAAAACGAATAAATTGAAGAAGATGCTTGAAACGTTGAAGAGACACCGTGGCACAATATAATGGACGACTTTAGCTAATATCCCATAGATCATAAAGTAATTCATGATTACTTCGATTCACACCAGATTGAATCAATAATCAAATAAAAGATTCTAATTCTATACGATCAATTGGTTTCCAACAATGTGAATCTAATCTTATGCTATTAGAATCTTGTCGTAATCTTATTTTTTGATCAAAATATCGTTTAGCATAAAGATTTGTATAGAGAACAATTCGATCAAGAATTTCATTTGTAAAGAAAAGTTTAAAAGCATTAAGAATTGTCTGAATTTTAATAATAGGATCAAGCTTTTTTTTTTATTATATTAGCAGCAACTATACGACTTTCTTCTAACTTTGGGTACATAGACCGTGTGATACCATCCTTTTGTAATGTTTCTGGTTGGCTAGTTGTAACAACATCACCTTGTTCAATATCAAAGTTTGATAAATCAGATTCTTCTGATATATGTTCACTATTAGATGTAACGTCTGATTCAGTACCAACAAAATCATATTCACTATCGGAATCAGAACCTTGATTATCACTAAAATCATTATTAGTTTCACTTCATCTACTAATAGAATGTCTCGAATTCATTTAAAATTTGACTTATGTGTTGCGTTCATGCTATAATAACAGAAAAGGTGAAAATGTATGTTTACTAGTTTCATTTTCTTACATATTTCAAGGGATTGTAACAGATTCACGCAATCGAGATAAATAGACGAAAATAATAGTATGCAGAAATGTCGTTTTGATCTGAAAATAGTCACAAATTTCACATTATGCAGAGAAAATATGAATCATAAACATTAGGAATGAATGTACAGACGAATCATAACAAATCTATTTGGAAAAACAATTGAAAAATAACAGCTGGCAGCTTTAGCAAGACAAAGAAATCATACTTATAACATGATAGGTGTTCTACCTCCTTAGAGCTATTTCTGATTTCTAGTGAGAATATTATGAGCCAACTAAGGATTACAGATTAGAGAAAGGGAATGACCCAAAACTACAAATAGTGACGGACTACTAGAGGAAAAATTGTCAGATAGATTCGTGCGCACTTCGCAACGTCTACGGGAGTTAAATCTGATTTATTGAGAACAAATCTTTGATGGATACGAAAAATGACGTTTGTACAAAATACTAGTTTCGCAGATCTTGTTAAATATGTTTGCTCATTTTTTGAACACTTGAATGTAATTGAAGAGAACTGAGAGTAGTGTTCCAGAGCTAGAATTTGATGCTCTTTCTAAATGTATTCTTAAAGTTTTATTCAGACTCGCAGTTAGTTAACTGTAAGCAAATATCTGGATAAATAAAAAATATCGTTTGCATTAAGCTGTTTTCTTGTTATGCATAAGCTCTCTCAAGGATATTATCAGATATTTTCTATTTGTTGTTTCTGTAGAGTATTTAATGTTCTACAAAACTTCCGGCTGCAATAAAATGAAACTCAAAAGCTACAAACATTTTCCGAGA